CTATACATTATTAACTGATTCAATGTTTCTATAATAGTATTTTTCCCATCAGTTTTTGAAAAACATTTTTTTCCTATTCCCACCAAGCTTCTGAGCTATGTAAATTTTAGTTTATTGTACATATAAATATATCTGGGAGAATATATGATCTGTTTTATATAACATCAGTGATTATCATTTAGTTGAGCAAACATATCAACATATCTATAGCAACACCTGCTGATGACTGGTCACTTGTTCTGGACAAAAATGAAAATGATGCAACCCCAACCTTGAGCAATCCACAAGGTCCTTTGAGCTGTTGACAGCTGTTTGCAATTAAATCTGATAATAGAGTCATAAAGAGCAGATATTTGTAGACCTATGCTATCTCATTCAATCTTCACATCTTGTCTGTAGAAATAAATACTGAGGAGGAAATATTTACATCAAATAAACAGAGCTGACAAGTATAAAAGAAGAGAACTTGATGTCTTCCCTGTTCCATCATGGTACTTGTCAGTTGAAAGTGGCACTTTGGGCCAGTGGTACAGTGGCTCACACCTGTAATCCTAGCATTCTGGGAGGCCAAGGGAGGTGGATCTCTCAAAGTCAGGAGTTGGAAAGCAGCCTGAGCAAGAGCGAGACCCCATCTCTACTAAAAAAGTAGAAAGAAATTAATTGACCAACTAAAAATATATAGAGAAAAATAATTAGCTGGGCATGGTGGCACATGTCTGTAATCCCAGCTACTCAGGAGTCTGAGGCAGGAGGATCACTTGAGCCCAGGAGTTTGAGGTTGCTGTGAGCTAGGCTGATGCCATGGCACTCTAGCTTGGGCAAGAGTGAGACTCTGTCAAAAAGAAAGAAAGAAAGAAAGAAAGAAAGAAAGAAAGAAAGAAAGAAAGAAAGAAAGAAAGAAAGAAAGAAGAAAAGAAGTGGCACTTTGTAAAGACTAAGTGTTTGGTATGCTTCTTTCAAAATTCTTTTTATAATTGTCAAGATGTTAAGGTAAAGCCTAAAATCTATAGATAAGAACAAAAAATAAAATAAAAGGAAGCTATCAAAGTGGTCTGTGATGCTGGAAAAATAAACATTATCTTTTCCCTTCTTGCTGCTCCTGTGCCCTTGGGTGGAACCGTGGCCGTCACTACTGCAAGAGTCCTCTCTTGAAGTCCTCTGTAGGTTCTGGAAACCACAACTTTAAGGGAAACGACATCAACAAAACCAGCTCTCCCACAGGCTAATTGGCATACACGAGAGTTCAGCTCCCACAGCACATTTCTGGGCACAAAAACATCACAAAGCTTCAGGTCTGGCTCAGGCCTCTCTCCTGGGGCTGAGAAACTTGTAAATTAAGACTAAAACACATTGAATACTAGACATGGAAACAGATGTGACTTCTACGTACATTTAAGGAAGAGTAATAAGTGTAATTAGCATGTAAGACAATGACTCACTCCGTCATTCCAGTTCAGGGTTGCAGGTGGCTCAGGACGCCACTCTGCAGACGGCCAATCACACACAGACTCGCTCACCGTGGGACAATGCACACCTGCCAGTTCGCCACCACGGCACCGCTTTGGGATGGGGCAGGGAACCAGAGGACCCAGAGGAAAGCCACACAGACTCAAGGGGAAGATGCGGACTCCACAGACAGCGGCCCTGGCCAGGAGCGGTTTTGTTCTCAGTAGAGGTATAATGAAAGTGCAGTGAAGGGAACGACGTCACGCCGGGACCTGCCGCGCAGCGGGCCTGACTCTGCACCTGGAAAGGGCGTCTCGTGTCAGCGGCAACAATCTGAAATAAGGTGTTGATCGCAGGGGCAGGCATGCTCGCCATCCGTTTGTATTTTCCGCTTTGAAAATGCCACTACTCCTAACATCTGCACTGATTTTTCCCTATTAAAATGTTTTTTTCCAAATTGATCATATGGAATGGAAGAAATCATTTTAATTGTAGGGGTTTAGCTCTCTGTTGAACGTTTTAAGAGACACTTCTTTTCAGAAGCCTACTTGGGATGACCCTTGTGTTCATTAACGGTATTTTCCCTTCAAAAACATACCAGGCAGCGCATTTCCACTCTTCGACAGCCTTTAACAGTGCAGCGTTAACTTTCTGAGGGGCTTCACTTCTGTTTAAGTGTATTACATGCGCTGCAGGTGACACAGTGCGACGCTCATGCATGTGACATCTGTATCTTTTGGTGATTTTTGTCGTTGTGTGAGCATCACAGAGTGCACTTACACAAACCTAAACGGTGCAGCCCACCACCCACCTGGCTCTGAGACACCACCTGTCGCCCCTAGGCTATAAAACTGTGCAGCACTTTCCTGTACTGAATGCTGCAGGCAACTGCAACACAATGGCTTTTGTGTGTCTAAATATAGAAAAGGTATAGTAAAGCAAAGGCACAAAACATCAGAAATCATATATCTGTGTAGGGCACTTCCCGAGAATGGAGCTTGCAGGACTGGAGTTGCTCTGGGCGAGCCAGTGAGTGTGGGGTGTGAGGGCCTTGGGCACACTGTGTACTGCCGCAGACTTTATGCACACACTATGCTGAGCTACACTAAGCTGATAAAAACTATTTTTTCAATGATAAATTAACCTTAACTTTTTGTAACTTTTTATTTTATAAACTATTTATTTATTTATTTAGAGACAGAGTCTCACTCTGTTGTCTGGGTTAGAGTGCCGTGGCATCAGCCTAGCTCACAGCAATCTCAAACTCCTGGGCTCAAGCGATCCTCCTGCCTCAGTCTCCCGAGTACCATGTTTCCCTGAAAATAAGACAGAGTCTTATATTTATTTTTCCTCAAGAAGACACCCTAGGGTTTATTTTCAGGGGATGTGTTATTTTTTTAAAGTATGGTACAGTCTACATTTATTCAAATATAGTTAAGCCATTATCTTCTGGAACATCATCATAACTCTCCAAACCCCAAATTCCATCCTGAATTTCTTGCGACTCTATTTCCCTTAGAACCATTGGCCCCAATCTCTCACATCGAGCAATAGAGCTCTCATGGGGCAGATGAGAAGGGCTGCTCGTCTTCTTTACCGCTCCGCAACGAGATGCATGGGTTGTGCAGATGCGCTGCGCAGCCACGCCCATCACTAGGGCTTATTTTCGGGGTAGGGCTTCTATTGCGCAAATGCTTAGAAATCTTGCTAGGGCTTATTTTATGGGTAGGTCTTATTTTCGGGGAAACACGGTAGCTGGAACTACAGGCATGCATCACCATGCCCGGCTAATTTATATATATATATAGTTGTCTAGCTAATTTATTTCTTTCCTTCCTTCCTTTTTTCCTTCCTTCCCTTCCTTCCTTCCTTCCTTCTTCCTCTGTCCCTCCTTTTCTTCTTCTATCTTCCCTCTCGCTTCCTTCCTCCCTCCCCCTCCTGCCTCTTCTTTTTCTTCCTTCCTTCCTTTCTTTCTTTCTTTCTTTCTTTCTTTCTTTCTTTCTTTCTTTCTTTCTTTCTTTCTTTCTTTCTTTCTTTCTTTCTTTCTTTCTTTCTTCCTTTTCTTTCTTTTCTTTCTTTCTTTCTTTTTTTCTCTCACTATGTTGCCCAGACTGATCTCGAACTCCTGAGCTCAAATGATCCCCCCCGCCTTGGCCTCCCAGAGCGCTAGGATTACAGGCGTGAGCTACCTCACCCGGCCCTATAAACTTAATTTTTAACCTTTTGACTCTTTTAGTAATACCACTTAGCTTAAGACACAAATGTCCTTATTGTATAAACTTTGTTTTTCATTTTGTATTTTACTTTTAAACATTTTTGTTAAAAACGAAGACACACACACACACACACACACACACACACACACACAGGGCCTACACAGCATCAGGGTCTTCAATGTCACTGCCTTCCAGCACCACAGCTAGTCCTGCTGGACGGTCTTCAGGGCCGTAACGTGCGTGGAGCTGCCATCGCCCGTGACAACAGTGCCTCCTGGCATATCTGTTGAAGCACCTGCCAGAGGCTGTTTTACAGTTAACTTTCTTTTTATATGTAGAAAGAATAAGATTCTGAAATGATGATAAAAAGTAGAGTACAGTAAATATAGAAGCTACTAACACTAGTTTTTGTGGTTTTTTTATCATCAAGTATCATGACCTGTATACAATTGTGTGTGCAAGACTTTTACAGGACGGGCAGCTCAGGGGTTTGTTAACACCAGGGTCACCACAGACGCTTGAGTGATGCCTCGTGCTGCAAGGCTGTGGCAGCTGCAACGCCGCTGGGCACTGGAGGTTTTCAGCACCACTGTAACCTCGAGGAGCCTTGTCACACATGAGGGTCATCGCTGACAGAGACGTCATCACGCAGCACGAGAGCGTGCGCTGACGTTTAATGTTGTGATGCTGATCTTTCTGCACAAGAGTCAATTATATTATCCACGCTAAAGTTAATCAGAAAATATGTTCTTGCTGTTCTCAACAGAGAAATGCACAGGAAAGCTGTACGGGCTGCGTTAAGTCTTCAGATGGCTCATTTGGTTTTCTCACTGCAACAGTGACTGCGTGTGGTGGTTACCTTTAGCAGATTTACTTGATAGATTCACATGGATAGCTCTTGTCTTTGGGGAAACAATATATCTAGACACAGTCAACTAGTGAGTGCATGTCTTCTAATAAGGATGGTTACTAACGGTTCTGTGATAACGGTTCATTGTGGGTTCAGCCTGTGTCTTGACTGTAGTAAGAGCCTTCAGCTTCCAGGAAAAATTATAAAATAATTTTGATGGAGAAAGCTTCCTGAGTCACAATCCAAAGGGCTCCTCCAACACAGCATCACCGTGTTTTCTACCTTTAAAGTGTCACTTTTACTATGCTATAAACATTTTTTAAAAAATGTTTTCTCAGTCTAGTTTTCAGGTACAATTAAAAAGAATACCTATGCTACACATTTACTAATTTTTTATAGTTCAAAAAGCAGTTCCTGTTTTGTGATATAAATGGATCTTAATATAAAATTTTAATTTTTCCCCCTCCTTTCTTTTCTCCTTCCAACAGTCTTACCTAGCCACACCTGTGGAAATCCCGGAGAAATATTGAAAGGAGTTCTCCACGGGACAAGGTTCAACATAGGAGACAAAATCCGGTACAGCTGTCTCTCTGGCTACATCCTGGAGGGTCACGCGACCCTGACCTGCATCGTCAGCCCGGGGAATGGCGCGTCATGGGACTTCCCAGCTCCTTTTTGCAGAGGTACCGTCCCGCCCGCGGTGTGTGCTTGCGAACTGGCACGCACACTCAGTCAGAGGCTTTGGAACCGATCTTATGTTAACAAAAGCTTCCACTTAAAATGAAAAGAGAGCACATTTGGCTAGGTGTTACTGTGCCAGCTCACTCTGTCCCCCAAACTGATATTATAGTTTACGTGAGAAACCATGACTGGACCCTGAGAAGTCAGTGACAAATTTACAACTTGTTCTTATGTCCCCAAATATCCAAAATTTTCTTCCTTCTATTTCCCAAACTTTATGGACTTCTGCCTATTCTGATCACCTCTTGTCATAGATTCTATGTAGATGTGCACATAGCTTCGTGCTTTGATGGTTCCTTCTTTTATATCCTTGTTAAAAATTACAAACAACCCTCTATGGGGTCACATGTTTATTTTTTAAGAACACTTGCAACATTCTTAGGCTTCTGAAATGAGGTGGCCGTGAATGGGTGCCCTCTCCCAAGTGTTCGTCATCACGGTTCAGTGCGAGATTAGAACCACTTCACATGGAGCCCTGCGACTTTTACACCTTCTGATAAAATTATTTTGCTGTTTCAGTGACTTTAGGAAAGAGCAGACTTCGACTCTTAGGTTTTGACTTGCTAAGACAAACTCGTTGTGTGAGTTCAAAACTAAAACATAGCTCACATTTATTGAGGTCTTAATCAAATGCCGGAAAATCTACTAAGCACTTCACCTGGATCATCCTATTTACCTCTCACAACTGGCTGATGTAATAATTATATACACTCATTTAAAAGATACAGAAAGAGAATATTAATTTCTAATAGGTACTAAAGATAGTATATGATGAGGTGAGACTCAAACCCAGTCTTTTAATCTATGCTTGTAACTACCAATCTACAGCCCCAACTGCAGGTCATCATCTTATTTTACTTGCATTTCAACCTATGTTACTTAAGGAATACTTACCTATTTTTAATTCATTTTTCTGCTAAATGTTATACTCTTATAGAGCTCCCTGATGCTAATTGCTTTATTAATGGTATGATGGACATGTTATTATTACTACTGCTACTACTGTAAGCTGGAAGCTAATACATATGGGGTACTAATTATGGGTCAAATAATACTTTATCAAATTTAATCTTCACAAGTAAGTACTCATTGAAGATTCATTTTGTAGATGAGGAATCTGAGTCAGATGGGAAAAGTAATTTGCCCATGGTGTTCCAGCTAGTAGATGTCTGAGTTGGAATTTACCATATTCCAATTATTGCTCTACCCTAGAGAAGCCCTATGATGACCATTTCCTACTCCAAATATCCATTATTCCTCCTGAGACACTCATTTCCTCTGCATGTTCCTGAGGTCTATTATATCCCTCTTCATTTTTCCTCATTGCTATTAATTATTTTCCATCTTGCTATTGTCAAAACAGTGATGTTGTCCAAATTTACACAAATGTCCCAATTCCTTGTTTTGTATGGATTTCTCTAAACTAATTGGTCTTACACAAGAACACTGCTACTTAGACATCCTAAATATATCCTTTCTTCTTTTTCCTTATTTTTACCATCGTTTCCATTTCTGGGGGAATTTGAAGTGATTCTGGCTTTGTTCTCCCCATCATTTCTTGAATCCTTTAGGTCTCAAGTGATGCCAATTTTTTTCCATTTCAAATTGCCTTTCACTTAGCTTTATTTCTACTCTCACTCTACTATTCCAGTTTTTTTTTTCCTCCATCTCACCCAGACTGGCTTCCAGTTTGTTAAATGGGCTCCATGTCTAGATCTCAGCCACGCCTTCCCCAACTAGCCAACTCCAGCCAGAGATTCATGCTCCCATCTTGCCTGAACACCACCTGCTTACATGCCTTTATTCTTTCTAGGATGGAACATTTTGTTTCTGTAAACTATACTTTAGAAAATAACTCTTAGCAGCTCTGTAGACCTGAGGTCCCTAAAGTCACAACTCTGGAGGTTCCCAACTACAAGCTGTCATCCGGTAACTTATTTTCATGTGTGCTGCACTTCACAGAGTGGCCTGTATTAGCATCATGTGCATGACTCACATGGGCCACCACAGAAAGGCATCCAAAACTCACATTTAAAAATCAGTTTGTAAATAGCCAAAGCCCATAAATGCATGATCCTGTTTGTACCTCAAATAACCTCAAATAAGAAGTAGGCAACAAAGTACGATTGTTTCTACAATAAAGGCAAGAAAATAAAGTCTCAAATTGAATTGTCAAAGTCTTAAATTTCTGACTTGGACATTATCACAGTTAGCTGTAGTTGTGATTGTGTTGTCTACTTTTGTAAACTTTTAAAAATCTAGGTAACTCATGCACGTGGTTAAACAATTTAAGAAAACAGAAAGTCTTACTATAAAAAGCAGCATTCCATTGTAGCATGCATGCTCTTATGCCACAAATGCAATAAAATTTAACCATCTCAGGTTTTTTGTCATTATTGTCTTATATGTAATACGTTTATATTATTCTTTTTTGCTTTATCAATTTTTAACTTTCTCAACTGATATCTTGCTATGAGTATTATTTTACTGCCTCACTTCCACTCCCCATATTCTGCCAATATGATTTAGATTTTGGCACATTATCTTTATAAGTTGACATAATGCACTTGATTCTTTATGGCTTATTTATTTCCTTTTTGGTGGCATCTCTTGCCTTTCCACTTTGTGAGACATGAATGTCTTGGCTCTCCTCTTTCCAGTATGCCTCCTGGCCCTCCCCTGGCTGCTTTCTGTCGGCAGTAATAGCACTTCTGTAATATGAGAGCTGGTAGCATTTATATTTTATCCTGTAATCATAATGAAGCCCCCCTTAACTTGTCTAAAGGCTGCTTATAAAAGATGAAAAGTAAAGAACATTCCTGTTGTGGTAACTGTGTAAATACTGCGCACCACAGAGCCATTGGTGTGCCTGTCATTAGCCTTCCTCTCCTGTGAGCACTGGGTCATGATCCCTCACGCCACTCTTTCCTTGCCTCAATTATTCATAATGAACTCCTAATTACATTTGCTTCACATTTGGACTAGCACATTCTTGTCCTGCTTGTTTTGTTCATGTAATGTTAATGGCCTCAAGCACAGATACAGTTTGCTCATGTTAAATCCAAAATGAGTCTTCCTCTGGGATCAGCGGTGACTTGGAGATTGCCATCTTCTGCCTCCGGGTCTTGAGCAAGGTCTCCAGGCTGCCCCATCTGGTCGGCAGAGGAAGGAAAGGATTTGGGCTGTTCCAGGCAGGTCCTCTGCACATAGTGCTCTTCCTTCCCCTGCACATAGTAGCCTTTGGTTAGAGCTCACCAGTGAGGCCTCATTTCACTGCAAACAGAGCCAGGGAATGGAAGCCTCATTGATTCAGGAAGAAGGAAAGCCAGCCTGGTGAAAGACTGGCCCATCTTTGTCATGATTGCATTCTATTTGTTCGAAAATTTTGAATTATCCTTATTTTTCCTTTGTTAATTAATAAGACTATGCATTCATCACAATAACCCAGGTATCTTCTCCTGTGTTACTGTGCGAATTCTTGCTATGAATTAACTCTATGCCTCTTTCTGAAGTCCGTGGACTTATTTCTCTAACTTAGGCTGGATTACTTAATATTCACAATGAATCATTTTTCTGTTGTTCCTACAGTTTCCAGCTGTCCCTTCCCCAGCATGTTGTCCCTTTACCACCTTGTCATTATCACCATCCCTAGTTTCCCCCAAACCTACCACCTGTCTTTCCATGAATCCTCCCCAGAGGGTTCCGGAATACTCTCCAGGGCTGTTCCACAGCCAGTACCTTGGAGACCTCCTGTTGTAGTCAACTCAATCTGTAAACTGATTCCTAAATCTGATGTCTTCTCTCCCTTAGTTCTGCCACAAATAGCCTTCTTAAAATGTCACTTTGGAGCAAGCCTTCAAACCTTAGCACGGGTGAGAAAGTCCTCATCTGCATCCACATTCATGGGTATTTTGACTAAGGCTAAAAGTATATATGAAAAACATTTCCTTCAAGATTTTTTAGAATATTGTTTCATAATTTTAAGCACCTTATTGGCTTCTCTTCCTCCTCTGAGAGCAGAAACAAACAAGACATGAGCAAGTGAATAGTAAGGCATATGCCACGCTAAAATAGCACCTTTATTACCAATAAAAATGCTATTAGAGTATATACATATTCCATATATGTCTATAAATGTGTTCCATATATATGTATGTGTTCATACATGAACTAGATAGGCTAGCGGACCTTCCAACATTGGACTCCAGAATTAGACGGATCTCACTCCCCTTTCCCAGGCAGCACTTGACGAACTTATCAGCTCAAACCATCTCCAAGCTTTGAGGAGCACTGATATTGTCTGATATCAACCAAGGCTGAAGAAATGGAGATCAAAAGAGTGTGAGAGCTTCGTCAATGGTCTGAACGAAGGCTTATGTCCCTCCAAAGTTAGAGCAGTGAATGGCACCACTTCCTTGCTATCTCTGATCTAACTTTAGACCTCAGCGCCTTCCATTCCTTTGATTTAGTTTTCTCACTGAACTGTCCTTACTTTTGTCATCCAAGATTAAGATGGTTGGGGAGATGAGGGGGATTCCAATGAAACAGAGAGAGAAAGGGCACCACTGGAGAGAAGTCGTCCAGGCATGTGCCCACGGAGCAAGAGAGCAGGCAGGGAAGTTTTAAAGAGCAGCCACAAGAGGTCATTTGAAGGAATAGAGAAGAGACAGAGCATGGGACAACTGCAGGTGCACTTGCACAAAAGAAGCTGTGTTGTCACCAGGGCACCCTCACTCTTTGTGGCAGAACTGCTGGGGTCAGGGGCTGTTCAGCTGACACACACCAAACCAATGCACGCCGGTTCCTCGGTATTTAGAACAGCACCATCCACTCGAAATATAACACAGGTGTGAGCCAAATGCGAGATTAAAAATCCCCAGTCACACGTTAAAAAGTAAAAGGAAACAGGTGAAATTGATTTTAATAATGGATTTCATTAACC